CTTCTGCAGAGTCTCCCCTTACATTAGAGTGTGTTGACATCAAAATGGTGTGAACGCCGTAGGAATTACAACAGCTTTTATGTCTGCGTTCCACATTCCCTCTTTTCTGTCTTTTTATCACTTCAGTTTCTCATAACATTTGAGCCGCACATTTTTTAGCCTGGTTTCTGCACCTGGAGTCTTCTAAACGCTCACATTCTCATGCTTCCATAAAACACACTGATTAAACATGTTTTGGACGGCGTTTTTAAGCTTGTGTAGATGTGAAGGGTCGGATGGACTGTTTTTGCTTACACGACGGGAGGTCCGGAATGGTTTGGAACATGAGAAAATGGATGACATGCAAAAGTCAGTGTGATCCTGGATGGGTGCATGTATTCTTCTGAGGAGCACAGTTGGGCTTCTCGGGAGGTGTTGTCCAAGCCACGTTGTGTAACATTTTATCCAATAAATAAAGTATGTTTTGTATTGTATTTCATTGTTTTTACGGCACTGAAAAAGTCCAAAACCATCTGCCTTTTATCTATCAACTGGCTCGGTTATAACAAACAAGGATGTAGCCGGCTGGTATTTGTCAGGCCCATAATCTTCTACAGCACCGTGTTAAACTGATCTACCTAAGAGAATGTTCCGGTATTTTATATGTTCTAATTCCATGGAAACACCAAGTAGGTAGTAGTAGATATACCACCTCCAAGAATGTAAAATGTTGCCTTTAGTTCAAGCAGAAAACTGTCAAAATTGTACGGATGTGGGTCCTGAACCCAATCTTAACGACTTTGGCATTTCCTGTTTTAATCGACAGTAGCTCAGTTGGTAGAGCACTGGCCTTTGAGCCCGAAGGTCATGGTTTCGAGCCCACCTCAAGACTTTCACCATCGACTGTCTGCTGTCGTTGTGCCTTTGGCAAGACACTTAACCTCTGGGAACACCAGCCACAGTGGGGCGGCTGCGGCTGTAAAGTGCCAAACTACCGTTGTGTCCTTAGGCAAGACACTTCACCCCCATTGCCTAGGATGAGTCTGGTGTGTGCGTGAAAGGTTGGTGGTGGTCGGAGGGGCCGATGGCACATACTGGTTTGCCTCACTTCAATCAGTGTGCCCCAGGGCAGCTGTGGCTACTAGTAGTTTATCACCACTGTGTATGGAGTGAATGGATAATGACATGTAAAGAGTCTTCGAGTGTCCAAAAAAGCGCTATATAAAAACTGCATTTTTATTATGGTAAAAAAAGATCCTTTAATTTCGCAGTTTGTTTGCAGAAATGCTCAGAAAAAATGCCAACAAATACTACAGACACTACTGCACTTTCCTATTGTTTTAAAACGTGTGGTTTTCTTCATGCAGCCATGTGAAGGACTATATCCCACTGTGTAGAACATGTTTTTGTTTAAAAAGGCTGAAAAGATCTCTGCAGCTCTGTGTAGATCCCAAAACAGAAGGAGATATTTCATCTGATTTTTGATGAATGAATATACTATCCATCTGATAGTGGAGTGGATGGAGCTCAAAACAACTCCAGGTGTGATTTTATGTTGTAACATGGTTGAGGCTAGAGCATTTTGGATCAATGTCACGAAATCCTCTAACCGGCTCCTCAAAATTATACAAAGGGTTTTACTGACTCAATAAAGTTTGGCATTTTAGCTTTAAATTCAGGGAATATCCAATTTGAATATTATTTGTATGATAGGTACCTACTTTTTCACTTTTCTGTCTGAAAAAGCTGATCTATCATTGTGACAGAGACCAGTAATACATGCATGTGAAAAATAGTGATAGAGTCAGAGTTTTAGAGATAGGAACGACAAATTTGTTGATTTGATTGTTATCATGAAAATGTAATCGTTGCTGTACATACTAGGCCCAAACCAATAGATATAAAAGAGGACATTTAATGACACTGAATTATAACAAAATACATACAGACATAACAGAAAATATTATACCCCAAGCAGAAATGGTTGGAGAGAGAGAGAGAACCCCGGAGGCTCTGGGCCTCAGCATTAGGCTGCTACATGTTGCTTAGAGAGTTGACACCGACCAAGAGCCCAAACTAGTCCATCCCAGCTATCTGTATACTGGCTGTCTGGTTACTCCCAGGTTCCACTGGATTGGTCAGGGGGTCAGCCAGAAGCAAGCCAGCCCCCATGGAGGGGGGACATGGACATCAGATAATGGGGAAAATCCATACCAACAATTGTTAATTTGTGGATTTCTCATTCAAATACCCCAGCTTTAACAAAACACATTTCGGCCAATATGGAAATTGTAAAACACAAATGTTTGGGCAGAGATCTGGAGGCAAATAAAATCACTCAATCCTGACAGTGATGATGTGTCGCGTGCACTTCGCAGCCGTTTCCTCCTCTTCTCACCTCATCCCAGTGCGGCCTATTGATCACAAACATCACATCGCCACGGCAACAGATCTGCCTTTAATACCCACCCGTTACTGAAAGCTCGGCATGTGCGACTTCATACTCAATGCCAGGCGTGTAAAGTGCTCCAGATGGGCTGACTTCATCTGTTCAAAGCATATCATTAGGGCAGATTTGAATTCCTTTGGACGGGCAGGTGCAGACCACTGACTCAGCCTTTAATGACTGATCGCAAGAGTTTTAAAGAGCATCAGGTCATCAGGCAAACGCGTGCAAACCTGGCGAGGAGCGTTCTGACAACATCCAGACAGCTGGTGAAAAAGTAATCGCTCAAGGCTTTAATGAGTGACTTTATAGACTTGAAAACAATGCAATTCCAGACTATGGGGATTTGGATGTTTATGTAAGTGTGGCACACGGTAAGTTAATTACAAGTACAGAGACTGGCTTTTATCTTTAAAAACAAACAATAACATCTAAAAAATCAATATGTTTACTTTTACTCAATGAAGTTAATGTTGGTAATGAGACTTGGATGGCATGGAATAATGGAATGGAATGGAATAATAAAGGGGAAGAATATGATAATAATACATTGGTTTTATATAGCGCTTTTTTGGACACTCAAAGACGCTTCACATGTAATTATTCTTTCACTCCAAACACGGTGATAAACCACTACTGTAGCCACAGCTGCCCTGGGGCACACTGACCGAAGTGAGGCAACCAGTATGTGCCATCAGCCCCTCCGACCACCACCAACCATTCACACGCATGGCATAGACTCTTTCTAGCCAATGGGGGTTAAAGAAGCTATACCCGATTTTTTTTCTAAGTAGTTCATAAAAATGCTTTTTACTACATACAAGTTGTATCATAATACATCATTTAATTGAAAACTTGAGGTAATTGATTCAGCTGTGTAAGAATTACAAGCAGTGAAAAGTGCTGAGTGGAGTCTTAGCGGGACGCTCTTTCTCCTCCGCTCACAGAACGAGCAGCGAACAGCCTGCGTCCTCTAGCCCCTACAGCGCTGCTTAACGCCAGGGCTTCGACTTCAAAATTCGAATATAAATTCTAAAATAAAAAATGATGAACAAAATAATTGAATAAAAAAATGTGAACAAATATTAGACAACCCTTGTAATTCGAAATGTATTTAATGACTGCAAATAAAATAGTTAGCTCCCAAAGGTTTCACCGGGACGTGCTAGGCAGGTAACAACTAAGCTAGCTAGTTGTTTCATGGTAACTTCCGGGTTTTTCGCAATCGCTTTTTGTCACTTTGAAACAGTATTTTTGTTATGAAAACGTTAACAGCAAATTCTGAAATCGTCCGTGCATGTGTGTTAAGGATGTATATGTGTACTGTATTGTCCGATTGACGTTTAATGGTGTTGATTGATAGATATGTAGTTGTTTATTGAGCGTGGCTAGCTCCGCTAGCTCCGCTAGCTTCTCTACACTGACGAGTGTGTAGTGACAGGTGCTGATAGCTTGTTCTTGCGGAGTAATGGCAGTATTTTACACACCTGAATTACAAACAGAGGTTGCATTGGGGCTTCGGTCATTATTGGTTTGAGAGTTCTGTTATCAAGAAAAAATTATCGGAAGAATTGCTGCTGCTGCTTTGAGGAGCTCTATAACAAATTATAATTCAATATTAGAATATATTCTAAGGTTTTAAATTAATACATTCGGACGCAAAACTAGCGGTATTCTTTTACTTATATATTGTGTTAGCAGTGCGTTGCTTTAGTGCCATTTCATCGGTGATTGTTGCACAGCTTACAAGAAGTTGCGCTAATGCTAATGTTAGCATATTTATCAGATCGCAAATAAAACTAGGTGGCTCTGTGTTATGAGAGCGTAGGGGAAATAAGAAGCCATTGAGCGAGTTGGGGGGCGGTGCTAAACATTCAAACATTGCAGAAACGGGTATAGCGCCTTTAAGTGTCTTGCCCAAGGACACAATGACGGCAAACATCAGTGGGAGTCGGTGCAGAAAGTCTTGTGGTGGAACCCACGACCTTCAGGCTCAAAGACCAATGCTCTACCAACTGAGCTACTGTCGCCTCGATATATTGACATGACATAGATAGGTAAAGTGGCTCTAAAGGTAATATTACATGGCTGATAATCTCCATTACTTTACAGTTGATTGTTGTAAATACATTGGTCTGATATCACAATCCTGAACTCTGTTAAATGTTTGTTTACTGCACTCTGGGTAACTGATAAAGATATAATCTCAATGCAGAATCTTCAAAAACATGTTTTTACCCTCTATTTTCATAGCCTGTGTCTCCTAAACAGTTGCATACTGTAATAATTATTTTTAGGGAGTGCAATACATTCCAAATGTGCTTGGAGGGGGGAATTTCTAAGAGCAGCCAGGGGCCAGACGGTGTGCGGTTTTCAGATGAGGTTGACATATCAGGACCTCCTACATGCATTGGATCGAGCATATGACAAAAGACAAGATAGCGAATACAAATGGTCAAAATGTGTCTTCTCTGTAGAGTAGTGGGTCACAAACCAGGGGTGAGGAGCTCAGAGTAGAGCCGCTGGTGCGAACTGTTGCAACCCTACTGACCATTTGCCTTCTATCTTCCCCAAGATCAAGGCAGATGACCGCATACTCTACACATCACGGGGCCTCCTCCTCCGCTCGGTCCGACCCTCCGACACCGGCCTCTACACCTGCCTGGCCCAGGAGCACTCCCACTTCAGCCACACCCTCCTCCGGATCCGCCTGAAGCTCGTCACCCGTGCTCAGCTCACCTCCAAACCTGCAGAGGACCCACAAACCAGGGCCCCGTCCAAGCAGCGCTACAAGGACTACCTCCGGCTGATGAGCGCCTCCTACGGGTCGCTGGAGGAGTACTGCGACTCGCTCTGGCTGGAGAAGAAGGCGCCCAAGGCCAGGGGGAGGGGCTTAGGAGTGGGAGGAGCCAAGTGGAAACACGTGCAGGAGATGAAGAAGAGCCGGAACAGGAGACACCACAGAAAGGAAGAGGAGGAGCAGCGTTAGGAAGTGGGACTGGTGAACGCTGTCCATGTGTAAATGTGTTATTTAAGGTCATTTTGTGTTACAGTTAAGGTGGAACCACATATCTGAAACCAGGAAAACTTTGTTCAGAGCTCTCAAAAACAGTTTGGTTCGTCATTCATTTTCACATGCATGTGTCTTGGTCTCTATCGCAACAAGAGAACCGGTTTTGTGAAGTAGAGATACCCACTCTTGGGAGGTGCGGACGAATTTCTATGCAGCCAGAGGAATATGGTTGAAAACAAAAGTCTAAATCATTATTCATAATACTGTATCTAACATTTAAAGCAGGATTAAACCAGGACTGAAAAAAATTTACAAAACATACAAACACAGAGTACACAATTGACATTCTCTAAAACTGCTCTGACCTCTTGTCCCAGTCTGTATCCAATTGAGTCAAACCTTTCATTGGTGTCTCTTACCTTTGCCTTAGCTCTCAAATGTATATATTCTCCATGAGCACACTTGTGTCATCACACATTATGTTTACCTTGAGCATTTGATTTTTGCACCAGCTCAACTGCAGTCATTACCAAAGTACAATTAAATGTCACATATTTATTGCTTTTGTCTCATTCATCAAATCAATGAAACACATGCAGAAGAACTGTACTTGAAGCAATGATCATTATGGGTGAGTGGCCTCTATACAACCAACATTAATTGCTAATACAAGCGTATTATCCCTGTGTGCTCATGCATGCATCTTCTGGCCTTGTCCTTTATGTGGTTGCAGGTTGCGTAAACACATTAGAAAAGGTTAGAATACCATTAACAGGTTTTTACTGCATTCAATTTGTAAAAAACTGAACTTAGTAGCATGTTCAGCTCGCAGCACACTTTACCATCTGTTAGTCATTCAGTGTTCCATTTCATATTTATTTCATACTTTTTACTTCTGATTCTAAGGCAGTAAAAGTTACGTGTAGGTCACTCGTAATATCTACATGTTCTCAGTTGTATTCATTAAGCCTCTTTGTATCAGTATGATGCGGACAATTGCAATGCTGCTAAGTTTTCCACATATGCAACTCAATGAAAATGCACAGTACCTTACAAAAGTGTCTATACAGCTACAACATATGTTCATGTTATAACCACAAACAATGATTTTATATTGAATTTTTTACTGTAAAGACGAACGTTCACCACAAAGCCATAAAAAACTACTCTTAAGTATTCCACATGATTAACTTATGCTGTGTCGTCACGGCAATTGATTCTGTTTTTCAAATATTATTTTGATCACACTGCCCAGTCAACTGTTACTGAGTGGCTTTCAGTAAACAAAAAAATAACATTTGTGGTTGCAACATGACATAATGTTCAAACGTTCAAGCTGCATACACTTTCTCAAGTCAGTGTGTTGAACAGTCCGTAGAGGAGACTCTTTTCTGACTTTTCCTTTTTTTTTTGGTGATCTATGATTTGATTTTAAAGATGCTTTTTTGAGATGAGACTGTATGAAAAACTGTAAATATGAATATGACGTGTACAGGAGCATGCATCGTTTAGTCCATTATTAAACTGTGCAAATATAATATTGTTTTTGGTAAGAATATTTTTGTACAAATGTCCCTTTGATTGTTGTGTTCTGCCTTTTGTGAGTTGTTGATCAGACAATAAACTGCAAACAGATGGGACAAAATGTTCCAAAGTTCAAACTGTATACCGCTCTCAGTAAGTGCAAGTTTTCTAATAAGATAATGGCAACATGCTGTGGGCTGGTTTATTCACAAAATGTTATTTTCACCCTTTCTGTTGAGACGAACAGATGTTTTTGTGACCCAAACAAAAACAGTGAGGTTAAGAAAGGTATTGTAGTGAGCTTTAATGCATCTGGCCACAGCAGCTGTTGTCATCATCCTGAGCAAAACCGGTTTGCGGACGCCAAGACTCGCGCTGATCCACGGACATGGCTTGTGCACTGGTCCGGTGACTCGTGACTCGCGTCTTGGTCTATAAAGTATGTGGGGAGGGGTTTCACCTTAAAACAGCTTCAAACTCAGAATATACACTGGAGCGTCTCACTCTGCACTACAAAAAGTGATGAAAAATAAGTACAGAATTGCTTTAATTTGGAAAAATGTACCTTGATTGGAGCACATTCTGACTTCGTTTAAACCAGATTTGCCAATGGGACAAGCAAAATGATCTTGTTTTAGAAATATACTTGGAATGAGAAAAACAGCAACAGCTCTGGAAATAAGACTAAATGGCTTTCTCCCATTGGTCAGAATACTCAAATTAAGAAAAAACAAAAAACACTCTATTCAAGCAATTATAACCTCATGTTTTATCATGTTTTGCAGTGTGTCGTCATCGCCCGCTCAGTAACCCACAGAGAAAACACTGGCTTTCATCACTGAAACGGTTATTGTAATCTTCAACACGTTTTGTGGAGGTTACAGCCCACATCAGTGACTGTGACGCCTCTGGTCAAAGGTTATGCACAATTTGAGAAAGGACTCTTTGGAGGTAAGCTTTTTGCGGAGTTCCTGTGCCACAGACGTGATTGCAGCCGCTTTTTCTCCCCACGCTCAGACCAAACTCGCAAATGCTATCGCGGTATCTCAGTTTTATGCTGTCATAAAAAATATTCCAGGTATCGAATCCTGATTACCCCAAGGCGTTCCCAGGCCAGCTGAGAGACATAGTCCCTCCAGCGTGTCGTGGGTGTTGCCCGGGGCCTCCTCCCGGTGGGACCGTGCCCGGAACACCTCCCCAGGGAGGCGTCTATTTTTTTATATCCGGAAAAAAGATAAAACATTCAGAACTTGAAGAATATAGCAAAATGAGCAACATCATATATTATTATTTGTACTGTTTTATTGAAATAAGTCAAAAGCACTTTAAACTACACTGCAAAAAATTATCAAATATGAGATAATAATTGCCTGAATTGAGTTGTTTTTATATTAATTTAAGTTCTTTCTGACTGTCTTAAAACGAGATTTGCCAATGAGACAAGCAATTTTGACTTGACTCAAGAACTATTGCTTTATTTTCTCAATCCAAGAGAGAAATGTCTTGTATCTTTTTAAAACTATATTTTTTCTTGTTCCACTGGCAAATCTTGTTTAAAGGCAGTCAAAATGTGCTCAAATTTAGAAACATTTAGCAAAATTTGAGCATTTTTTGTCCTTAATTCCATCATTTTCTGCAGTGTATAGAGCACATACAGCCATAGAATAGATATTAGTTGATTTCATCCCAAAAGGAAATCTACTTTTTTGTGATGCAGTACATTTAAAGTAGAAGCAAGGTAAGTAGTAAGTCATGTTTATTTATATAGTGCATTTTACAGACCAAGGTCACCCAAAGCGCTTTACAATGTTCAGGTAGACATATATAAAAATGGTGTAGCTTGGAGAATTTCTCGGTCATTACTTCTCCACACATCATTCATGTATTCCCAAATAGACGACACAGAACACAGTCCTTGGAGCAGATGGCTTGGAAATGCACTTGTTTTGCTTGGCTCCGCTCAGGTCCCGGGTCTGTCAGGCTGATTCAAGACCAGCTGCTTTCAGTGTTTTCTCAAATATATCATTTTTTTTACCCAGAAAAAGCAGCACGTAGGTAGCGAGTGTGGAGGATGTGCAAACTTGTGATCCCAGGAGCACATAAGGCTTATTGTGACGCAGGATCACATGCTGACGTAAGAGGCACACGCTGGTTTGGATTACATCACCGCAGGACCAATGCATTTATCACTTTTGTTAGCTTATTGTTGCTCAGTATTAGGGCTGCAAAGATCAACACGTGGGAATAATCCAAACAGACTCCAGAAGGATTCATTCATCCATTTCATTGTGTTCATTTATTAAGTTGAGGGGAGAGGGTTAATGAACATGTCTGTAATACATATGGTACATTCTCACTCTATAAATACTGTAGACTGGTTAAGACAATTAATGTACAATTCTATTTACAACTATTACAGACAAGTTGACAGTTGGAATCGTCTAGTTGTCAGTTGGTAGAGCATTGGCCTTTGAGCCAGAAGGTTGTGGGTTCGAGCCCACCGTAAGACTATCTCCAACAACTTCCACTGATGTCTGCTGTCGTTGTGTCCTTGGCAAGACACTTAACCTCTGGGAACACTTGATGCCACAGTGGGGCGGCTGCGGCTGTAAAGTACCAAACTGCTGTTGTGTCCTTAGGCAAGACACTTTACCCCCATTGCCTAGAATGAGTCTGGTGTGTGTGTGAATGGTTGGTGGTGGCCGGAGGGGCCGATGGCACATACTGGTTGCCTCGCTTCTGTCAGTGTACCCCAGGGCAGCTGTGGCTACAGTAGTAGTTTATCACCACCGTGTATGGAGTAAATGAATAATGACATGTGAAGCGTCTTTGAGTGTCCAAAAGCCTTCTCCTTCTGAACAGGGCGTTTTGCACTCGCACACAGGTTCATATCACAACGACTTTGTTTGACAAATTGGTTTTCAGTCATGCTCACCTCCCGAAGATGCAGAGCGGAGGCAGTGGACAGTCCGTCTTCATGTGATTAGATTTAGACCACACAGAGAACCAATCACATGAAGGAACAATGTTGTGACATGGTTGAAAACTCCAAAAATAAAAATTTGCACAATATGTCTAGTATTCACCAGCCTTTTTCTCTATTTTGATAATAACCAGGGTGGGGGCAGCACTAAGATGAGTCAATCTACTCCAGGCATGTCCAAACTAGGGCAAGAGGGCTAATTGCGGCCGCTGTGTTGTTCTACGTGGCCCTATGCCTTGCTAACCCAAAATACCATTAGATTGACACACAAGTTCATAGTGTTATCCAGCCAACTTCCGCTTCTACAATACAGGCACGTCATACCCCGTTGTAAAGCTCAGCACCTTTTGAAGCCATTTATTTGCATGCACTGACATTTATGTTTCATTTTGGCTATACAATTTGTCCATGGCACTGATGTAGCTATTGAGAAAGCTATTCAACTAACCTCAGCTCTCATGAATTGTAT